AATAGCTAAAAAGTTTTGAAAGGAAATGGTAAAGTGATAATAACTATGAACATTTCAAGCCTGACTGAAGTAACTCCAAAATTATTTTATGTCGTTTTCCATTTTAACATAAGGTTTCAGTAGCTGTTTTACCATGCTCTCTGATGGTATTCCTTAGTCTTCATGTAATGTTGAGCAGTGAGCACTTTCCACAGCGACACCCTCCACAGGTAGGGTCACAGGCAGCACCGATACTATACTTTTTCAGCCAACTCTTTATTGCATGCAGCTGTCGTTTGGACTTCCACGCTGCTTTCTTTTTCCAAATGGCTTCCTGACCTTTCCATGAAGTGTTCGTCATCTTTGACAGCTACCGTCTTAATGGAGTGTGCAAAGTGCGTCTTCAAGAGCCATGTGGTCACCTCCACTTCTTCGAAGAGGTCTAGATGCACACCACTCACAGTCTTGCCTAGAGGGCCGTCCCACATCACCAGGTCGCCGAGCCTTTGCAGTCTTTGTGGAGCTAATCGGACCAAATAACCAGCTGATTTGGTATAGCCTCTGCCAGAGATGTGAAATGTGGAGTCAACAAATCATCTCCATGTCATGTATTTGTTCTACCCACCCACGGAAGCAGGTGAGTCCAATCTTCACAGTGAATAAACCTGTGCAGATTGGACTCACCTTGTTAATTAGCTGGGTAGATTAAATACATCACATAGAGATGACTTGTTGACACGACATTTCCCATCTCTGGCGTATGCACATCCCGGGTCTGTGAGATCTAATGCTGCCCTCTCCCCTGCTAGAATCAACTCTAATGTCTCACGAGGCTGGTGGTTCTTTACAGCAGGCCTTGGTTATAGCTCCAACATCTCTTCTGCCGTTTGTGCTTTATCACCATAACGGTTCTCTAATTCCCTGAAGATATCGTTTGCATATCTTCAACGCAACGGTCTGAGTTTACTTTTGACAGTCTCACCTATGCTGTCTAGCAGTGAAGTTTCTTGCATTTCCTTGACCCCGTGGACTCTGTTTGCACCGGGATACTCTCCCATTTAGCCTTCCAGCGCCAATAGTCCCTTCTGTCCCCGGAGAAGTTGGGCAAACTTTTGGGTGGGAGCTTTATTTTAGGTCTGGCCCATTGCGAGCTGTTATCCCCAGCTGTGTACATGCCAGTGCTGTGTGTGGCAACCGCTACATACCTGCTCTGAGGTCGGCTAGTGACAGTAGCGCCTTGAGCAGCACAGGTAGTAATATTTGCTCCATCTCTGTCATGTCGCATCTTCATTTTGTGCTGTACCAATCCTCATTATAATCTTGCTTTTGCATCAGAACGTCCACTCATCCATCAGTTGCTCCTTGTCCTCTCTCAATGATAAAAGGAGCATCCACTTGTCCTTTTCATGTGGCCGATACTCTCTCCATGTGTACAGTGACTCACTGTCATCACCTGTAGGGTCTATCTGGCTCTGTGTGTTGATATATTAATTACTGACATTGAGGAATTTTTCATTATCATCCTTCAATCTCGCTAACTCTTCTGACAATTCAACCTCACGTAAATGTCCAACACAAACATCAAGGCGGTTTAATCGTGTTGCAAAGTTTCTTTTGCCGGATGCTATGGCTGGTAGTGACGTTGTTTACAAAGTCACTTCATTAGTTCTGCAGCTTTTATATTATCCACACAGCCCTACTCAACGTTGTGGAAGTTATTTAGCTCCGCAACTGTCCCATTAGCTCTTGGCTTTGGTCCTCCATTGTAGTGGAATTGTTGATGGCCGCTTCCTTCCCAGACACCGGATCTCTGGTCCCGGCGCCTATTGTCAACAGTGGCTCTCCTCCACTCGGGTTCTGTGTGCTCTCTGGCACGGCTCTGATGGTGGTTAACTACTGTCCAGACTTTTACTGAACTACATGCTATAGCTTACTAAACTCCCTTCTGGAAGGGTTTCAGACAAGAATGGTGGATACAACTCAAGTCGCTTTATGAATTTTTATTGCACACACATTCACAATAAGCATCCACACACACTAGGCAGCTTTACTGCTACAACTGTAGCAACTTAACTGCTATAACTGTAGCAGTTGAGCTGATTATCAAACTGTCGGCTTGATAATTAGTGAGTCAGTTAGCGAGGTTAATTAGGTTGTAAACTTGCAATGAAAACAAACGCAAAACCTGGAATTAACCAATGACCTTATACAATAATTCATGAGATATTAATACTTAATTTGGATTATTAGCAATGCTAGTTTAGAGTAACTCACCGGCAAGGCATACCAGTCCTGACCATCAATCAAATGAAGTGACGTAAAGGCGAGCCACCTGCGCACCGTGACTAATTATGCATACACAGACACACAGTCTAGAGAACAGGAATGATAATAAACAAACCTGTAGCCTGGTATGATTATAAAATATGTGAAATATAACATAAAATATGCATTCATTTGGAACAAGGTGGTAAATGTACACACTTATTTTCTCAAGTACCCCAGGACATACTCTTATCACCCACCACTTCTAATACATATATATAAAAAGCAGAATCTGCAACTGCTGGAAAGTTCTACAAGGTGGATCAGATGAGTAGTGATTAGAAACTGGGCAGTGAGACAGGTGAATGGAATGAGTAATTATCCAATGCCAAGATAAATGCCAAGATCATGACGACTGGATATGTTTCTTGAGGCTCATCTGACCAGAGCTCCTTGTGGGGATCCAGACATGCAAGAATACTTGGACTTTGCAATGGAGCAAAGTCATTTACAGAAGCCAGAACCCTGGCAGTCTTTAACTTAACTGTATATAAAACTAAAAGAAATTGCTCAGCTATGAAATGGAAGAAAGTTTATTGTGATAACTGTGGAACATGGACATAATTTGTCACCCTATCTTCCAAGTTAAAAACTCGGGAATAAATAAAAATAAATAAATTGGAATTTTTTTTTTTATTCCCAATGATGTCTAAGGGTGAAAACAAAAATCCTGCCCCAATTTATTAGCATTTTATCAAAAAGAACTGAGCCTTAAGGTACACATAATCTCATCAATGAACAAACATTTTACAGTCCAAGCTCTAGGACAAGCTCTTGGTCCTCAATCACGCTGCCACTGCATGTTTTAGACCTTTTCCTGCTTTAACACACCTGATTACACTAAAAGAAATATTAATCAGTTATTAACTGAGATCAGGTTTGCTGATGCAGAGAAATATCTAAAATATGATTTCTTGGCCTTGAGAGTGAGAACCTCATTTAAAAACACTACTGTAGGAGTTATCCAGCCATGAGGTTTCCCTCAAAGTCACCCAGCAAGCAAACTGAAGGGGAAAGTGATATTTTACAACCCAGACACAGTGTGTTAGTGGAGGGATGAGGATATTAGAAGGGCTTCGGATACTGCTCCCTGTCTCGATCTTGGTCCATGCTGTTCCCTGGTAGGGGCCTCGTCCACGGTGGTGGTCCTGCATGGTGCGTGCGGGCTGAACGGCCTGGATGGGGGGGGGTTGAGTGAGCTTCCTGATACGTGGTCTTCGCGGGGGACCTGGACCTGCCGGTGCTGGGCTTGTCACTTCTGCTCTCCATAAAGGGGTTTGGAGGGAGCGGCGTGTAGTGGCTTGATGAATTGGTTAGGTCGGGTGGCCTGAGCGGGGCATGTGGGCCCCAATCACGGGGGGGGCTTTTGCTGGGGGTGGTCTGGTCCGGGTGTGGGTTTGGGGGATGAGCTCGAAGCAGGAACGAGATGGGTTGGTGTGGCAGTGACACAGCTGCTCTCCCCCCATCCGGAATTTAGGTTCACTTATTGGGTCATCCGATAATCCCGGGACCAACCACCAATGCCGCCAGGTCTTTGGTCCTGGTTTTGGATGTGAGTGTTATGTGTTAATGTGCGTCTTTTTTTTGTTTATTTCTCTCGATAGAGTCTGCACTTCTCAAGTCTCTGCCAAGTGCGGAGCCCATCCCCCCCGTCCTGCTCTCCCTCTGCTGGCTGGCGCCTGGGCTCGCCGGTGCTCTAGTTGAGCTCGGGATTTGGGGGGTGGATGCCCAGGTGGCTGCTGGCTCATTCCTGGTGGCCTCTCGCGGGGCTCCTGACGGGGGGTGGGGCCTGGGGTCGGATTCACTTTGGGGTGGCTGGCTGCTGGCAGAGCCTGCGGACACATCCCCGCGGCTCCCGGGGGCTGCGGCATTGCGGTGGCTGGGGGACTTCCTCGGTGCTGTCTCTCCTCCTCCTTTGGTGAGGGTCGGATTCCCGAAGTATAATACAACTTATACTTCAGCGACAGTATCTAGGTGTTACTTTATTGTATCTCTTGTTCCATGTCTGTTGGTTGTGCTGTTCTTTTTACATCTCTTTGCAGGTGATGAAGCAGACTGAAAATGTTTTATCATTATCTACCTGTTATCTCCTCTTACTTTCATCTTTTCTCCTTTTTTTTCTGTTTTTCCTTTCCTGTTCTACCTACATTGAAGTGTCCATATATTCTGTAAAACTCCCTGCATAATTATAATAAAGCAATTTTTATGCATAAAGCAAGCAGAACAAGCAGAAAATCTGTTGGGCTCTTTTTGGCATCAAGACAATTATTGTTATTGCCACATGGCCAGACAGGACACTACTAAAAAAAAAGAATAGACAGCAATCAGCAAAATTTTGATCTCCTTTAAAGCTGAAATGGAACCGCGCCACTGACTTCAAGTCATACTGAATGTCTGTTAAATACTTTGGCAACAGAATTATTGTTGGAGGTCATGCAATTTAGCTATTGCTAAATTACTACTCTGGTGATCATATTCTCAAAACAAAATAGAGCAAAGTTTAACTAAATTTTCCTGGCCTGACAAGCTAAACAGACCCAATATCATAGACGTCTGCCCTGTTGAATATATCAACCATGCCTATATGGATGGCCCTGGCCCTTTAAAATGTGTCTGTGTTTTTTTTGACTCCTGTAATCTGATAACATTTAAAACTTAGACCAGCCCATACAGGAAGAGGGGGTGGTTTTTAGCATAAGAGTTGGTGAACTCTGATACTGCTCCAACTACTTCCTGCATGAAGTTGAAATGCAGGAAAAATGTTTTCTATTCTCTTGGTGCCGGGGCTTATAGCACTTGCTTACATTTTCCGTCAAGTTGTAGTTATAGGAAAGAGTTGTAAGAGCAATGCAAAGCTGCATGGGAAAACTGTGATTATAACTGGTAAGTACAGTCTCTGCATTCTGACAAATATGTGCTTGCTAACTACTTTCAACATGCAGGCAGCAATACTGGCATAGGGAAGGCCACAGCAATAGAAATGGCTAAAAGAGGAGCCAGAGTGACTCTGGCGTGTCGCAGCAAGCAGAGAGAAGCTGCTCTCCAGGATGTAAAGAGGGTCTGTATCTGAAAGCTATCCCCTTCTCTCTCACCAAACTAGTTAGAATAAAGGACTAGAGTTGCAAAATAGAACTGTTAGGATGAAATGTAAGAGTTATTGGTGGTAAAGTTGTAAGCTGTGAACAAGTGCATTGCAAGAGGGACACATTCAATTTTATTAAACATAGAGTTAAATAATTCAAGCTACATAAATGAAAAAAAGAAAAATTCTATCTCCTAAAAAATTCTAAGCCCATAAAAAAAAGTTGTGCATTTCGACATAGTTGATACTTAGTTGATCCTCCTTTACTATGAATAACTGCGTTGGTGTGGCATGGCTTGCAGGTAACCAGATAGTTGTTCTGCATAAAGGAAATGAAAAGCCATGTTTCTTTGGTAACCACCTTATGGTTATTTCCATTGGGGGGTCTGGGGTCTCTCATCCCCTTCTTGATAAATATTCCAAAGTTTCTCGATGGCTTTCAAGACGGATTTTGGTAACTTTGGCAATATGTTCAGGTCCTCCAGTCCTATTGGAAAATTAAACTACAGACATACCTTATTATATGTAAATCGTAAAAAACATACTCTTTAAGGGGGTTTGGGCTATATAAAGTTCAGAAATTTAGTTTCTTGTATCTATTGCTGTTACAATGAACACCTTGTGAATACTGACTAAACTGTCTAAGGCTCTCAGGAACAAAATAGTTTCTTAAGTATGGAAAATAAATTTAAAGTTTAAAAGGAAGTTGAAATCAGTCATTCCGTCACACAGAAATAAAGAAGGACTTTCCAACAATCCCCCTGAAAGCAGAGAATAAGTCATTGAAAATAATTTTTAAAAGTCCTTAATTTTCATCACGAGATCTGACACAGGTTTTATTTTTGTTATAAATGTTGGTGCAAATCCAACTTCGAGAGCAGGAAAAATTTGCTCTCTATGAAAACTTTAAGTGCCAAACACAAGTGTTTTTTTTTTTTATATATATATATATATATATATATATATATATATATATATATATATATATATATATATATATATATATATATATATATATATATATGTCTAGGCAGCTTTTTAGCCAATTTCTAAGTGTTTATTGTCTTTTGCAAGAGAGTGGCAGCAACAAGGTAGTGTTTATGCAGTTGGATCTGGGAAGTCTTAAGTCTGTCCATAGCTTTGCCGAGAACTTCCTTAAGTCTGAACCTAGACTGGACATCCTGATCAACAATGCAGGTAGGAGTGCAAGCTTTAGCCTTTAAGTTATTGTGGATACACTGCTCACAACCACTTTGGAAACTCAACAAAGACAGGGCATATGTTCATGCTGCGTTCACACCAGACACAGCAGGCGCAGCAGAAGCAACGAGTTTACATGCAAAGTCAATGGTTGATGCGTGTCAAGGCTCAGCAAAAGGTCCCGCAGCGCGTTTTGAGCAGCAGGCGCAGCACGTCTGAGCAGCTGAAGCAGAGCGTTGGGAGCGTTTAAGCATCTGACGCGCGCGACGCGCCGCAAATACGCTGCTGCTCGAGATGGAAAAATTGAACTTTTTGCTGCTTGACGTCAACCAATCAGAAAAGCTGATCTGGGAGCTGGCAGCGAGACAGACACATCACTGATGATACAGAGCACTGTGATCGCTCCTCTGAAACAGTTTATTAACGCCTAAATTAACTTCAAATGCTGAAACCTGCCGACAGAATATGTTCGCTTTTATTAACCTGGTGCCTGCAGTTTGGATTATTTAGATGAAAAACACCAACCAGCCGCGACGGTGAACCGAAAGGAGGCGACCCGGCCAGAGGCTGCTGTTGAGTGGGATTCCTACAGACAGAGCACCGCTGGTATGTGGGGGTCTAAGCGGCTCCGACAGAAATAATATTGGAAGGTGAGATTGTAACCTGGATGAACTGACTGCACTGATTAAGTTTTCAGGTGGATTTTCCCACTTAAAAACATATTAAAACTACTTTATTCCCACTGATCACAGCAAATATAGCTGCAAGGCAAAGAAAGGATAGGATAGTTCCGCCCAATGCACGTCAAACAGACTTTTGCACCGCGCAGCCAGAGCAGCAAAGCTGCTTCAGCTGCGCGTCAGAACTAACTGGTACAAGCAGCAGACGCGATTTTGCTGCACCTGCTGCGTCCGGTGTGAACGTAGCATAAGAGCTAAATTTGCTTTGATTTAAGATGTCATGTTGACAGAGACATTTCAAGATTATCCATCTTTTGTTTCAGGACTGATTGCATTTGGTCGAACGGAGAATGGGTTCGGGATGATGTTTGGCGTCAACCATCTCAGTCATTTTCTGCTTACTAACTTGTTACTAGATAGACTGAAGGAGTGTGGACCAAGCAGGGTGGTAAATGTGTCTTCTGGATTACACAAATTGGGAAAAATAGGTTTTGACTACCTAAACACTAACAAAGATCTAGGACTTGGGACATCATTATTAGATCGCTTTAGAATTTATGGATCTAGTAAGCTGTGCAATGTTCTCTTCACCCACGAGCTTGCAAAGAGATTGCAGGAAACCAAGGTGACTTGTTACTCGCTCCATCCAGGTAAGTTTGAGTGGTAAAGAATTACAATGATTAATGTATAATCAACTGAACATTATTTGACAAAATTTTATGACATACAGGAAGGTTATGTTAAGGTTTCTTGCATAAGCAACTGAAAAGTACATGTATTTAACAAAATATTTAAAAGGTATACAGCCTTTCAATGCAGAAAATTCTACTGATAACTTTGATCCCAAGAACCCATATGTTTGAAGGCTAACATGAGGTTAACAATTTTGGAGCAAAAAAAATACTTCCATGTTCACTTTTTTTTTTTTTTTTGCAAACTGTTTGATCAAATCCCAGCTATACAAACAAACCTCATTGTTTGTCTTTTGACCTGTTGCTTCTATCATTTTTTTGTCATTTCTTAACACATTGTAATATCCATAATAGATGGATGATGTCATGAGGTGTGATATATATCAGCATAGAATGGATAGAACAGATTCAGGTTGCATGACATCTGACCACATCAGATTTTAGAATAACAAACCTCTGCTTTTAAGAGAAATTACTTTACCTAAAAAAAAAATCAGAGGAATTGATGTAATGCTGTGATATACCTTTAAGTTTTTTATATACTTGAAGCTAGTTTGATAATTAAAATGACAATGTTCTTGCAGGAGTCATCAAGACTGAACTCAACAGGAACACAAACTCAATACTTAAAATCATCATTAAGATCATAGGAGGACTTCTCATGAAGAACCCCACCCAAGGAAGCCAAACCACTTTATATTGTGCCCTACAGGAGGGCATCGAACACCTGAGTGGGTGCTACTTCTCCAACTGCACTGCAAAAGAAATACTTGCAAAAGCCAAGGATGATGCTACTGCAAAGAAGCTGTGGGGGATAAGCCAGAGATTTTGTAACCTTTGAAGAATAGCCTACTTTTAGGAATTCATTACTGGTAATAAAAAATGAATGCAATAGACAATTGACTTGTTTGAAAATACTTTTTAGCCTTTAGAAAAGCCACCATTTGTTTTTTTTTTCTTCTGCTGTTATTTTTTTCTATGCTGACAAAACCTTTCAGTGATTTCAGTGATTCGTTTTTTTTGTACTGAAGGACTTCACTTTAACTTTCCACTCAATATATTATCTAATATAAGGAAATAGTTTTTGCCATACAGTAGTAAGTGTTTCTGAAGAGTAAACAGGGAAATCCAAAACTACTCATCTATCAGTGACCGTTAACAGTCACTGATAGATGACTGTTAACTGCCACAATTGGTGGCTCAGGATTCAGTGGGAGAGAAACAACCAAACCCCAAGCATCAGGCCTTCAAATCCTGACCATCTCCTGAGACCTATATGTTGCAGAATTTTATAAAAGTAGTGTGGTTCTGTTGATTGTTTATGTGAAATTAATGATACTTTATCTAATGTTCTGTATATTAGTCATTATAATTGGATATTTAGAGAGCAAATTGTGCTAAAAGTAGAAAAAACTATATAAGCAAATAAAGTGGAATCAGTATTTATAGATAAAAGAGTGGCAAGAATGGAGAATGCAGATAAGTTTGCTGCTGTTTCTGTTAGGGGTGGAACGGTTCACAAAATCCACGGTTCGGTTCGATTCACGGTTTCTGGTCACGGTTTTCGGTTCGATTTGATACATGTTGAATGTTACACCGAAATCCCATAAAAATTTAAGAAATCAATGAAAAAATCCCCCAAAAAATAATGGATTGTAATTATTTTAAATGATCCGCAGAAACCCTGGATAATTTCCGTATGTTTTGCTGCTTTGAATTTAATCATCTGACGCAAGCTCTCTACTACCTCCAAGGGACTCAGAGGGGAGCAGACGAAGCTACAGTGGAGGCTGTAGGCTTTGCTTTGAGCAGCCGGTCTGGAGCGCAGCGGGGCGGAGCGGGGGTTGCTGACGGAGTATGAGGGATTTCGGGGTTAGCATGACATGTTGCTGTTAGCATAAACAAAACGTGTTGCACAATGCTTGCACACTGTTGCACTTTTATCCACAACTTTCTTTCCGCTGTCATCGTAGGTCACTCTAAATGCAAAGCGCTCCCATACAGCAGACTTATAAAGTGCTGCTGGCGCGTCTTCCAACTCCTGTTCTTTCCCACTCGCCAGTCCGACACAATTCTCCACAACAACTGATTTTTTCCCCCTGCTACACCCGGCTAAGCTGCTTCGCTTCTTCTTCTTCTTGTTTACTACTGGCAGTTGGCTTTGGTCGCAGCACTGCCACCTTCTGCTCTGGAGTGTAATCGCTTCCTCTATGAGAAAAAGGAGCAGCGCATGAACCGAATGAAACACACGTGAACCGAACCGAGACAGTCGAACCGAACGATTCTGACGGTTTTCATAAATCGTCCCATCCCTAGTTTCTGTAGGTCTCATAGTAAAGTTTTATGAGCATTTAGAGTACACAACATTTAGTATTTAACATATATTTAATTGGTTTTAAATTTCACAGTTTACTCACGCTGATTACTTTTAGGTGCCAGTGCCATGTGGTAGATTATACAGTAAACATATACTTGACGTGACAACAATAAAGTGCATAGGGAACATTATTCATATTTACTAATTCTTTGCAATATCACTTTGCAGTAGTCTTTTGCAATAAATGCACCCCAAGCCCGACACACTAACATACACAAAAATATGCTGAAGCTAGGTAATTAATTTCAAGCAGGCATGAATTATCCTTTTTTTAACTTTCATTCAGGCAATGGCAACAGGTGATGTTCTTACAGATGCACTTTTATATTACAGTAACTGCACCTATGGCACCCATCTTCCTCCAACAATTGCCATCTGTCATCTTTCAGAAACTGAGTTTTTTCTAGCAGACTTAATAGAGGAAGGGTTGGGGGTGGTTTGATTTGGGATACTCCCCTCCTTTAGCCATGACAGTGTTGTATGTGGAGAGGGGTCATAATACTGAAGCTGCTCACGGTCTGAGCACTCTCTGTAAAAAAATACCACAGGAACATTATGATGAGTAGTTTTGAAATTCTGAATTTTCTTTATAATGGGGTATACCATAAACTGGTAAACAGCTCATGCCTTTAGGTGACACTAAAATATTTTTGTGATTTTCAAGTTTTATCTTTTAACTCCATAAATTAGGTATTAAACTATATTAGTTTCAATATAACAACATTTTTATTTTAATGCAAAAAGGCAAAGTTTCTGTATGTTTGGGGTTATGGTTAACATTTTCCAACCAAACTTCTTCAATCTAAAAACAAATGAGCAAAAATACCTTCATCCTAAATTATATTTTCCTATAAATTATTGTTGTTGTTTTTTTTTTTATTACATATTTTTTCTTTTTGACCATGTTCTGAAGACATCATATTGTTTTATATCTCTGACTTACAAATCGAAGTCATTCTTGTTGCAAGGAAGTCATTCATAGTGAAATAGAGTTTTAAGTTGAGCTACAGATTACTTTTACTGTGCTTTGTCAAGATAAGGGAAAATAATTATAAACCTAATTTTTAGGCACAATTTAATCAAATATTTAATACACCTTTCCATTACAGTTCCGTCTGAATCAATAATACATAATATAGATCAGTCACAAATTTACTTTGGATATACATTTTTTTTATGTAAATTTAATTCTTAAATTTAATAATTCAAACACTTTTTTAGCAGGGGATAGGGGCACAAAATAGGAATACCTTAACCTCATTAAACCTGACAGCTCTGTATCAGTATTTTACATTTTACATTTGTTTCTTGATCAATATCTGTCTTTCTTGGCCTTTAGGAGGATCTGTCTGTTTAAATAAAAATAACAAACTTCAGTCATGTTCCATATATCTGCCTTAATAAATGCCTTTATTGTTAGTAGATATAAGCATGACACAACACAGTGGATATCAGCTATATATACAAGAAATGTAAGGTATCCCAGGTAATCCAGTAAAAACTGGAGCAGCCGAGTTTGCATTGCTTTTGCATTTCACATTCTTATAGTTGCTCCTAAGATTTGTTGGACAGTTATGTCATAGTGTGAAGCTTAGGCCTGTTAAAATCAGAAGGATTGGGGTTATTGTTAAGCTTGTCCAACCAAGCTTCCTCAATAAAAACGGAGCAAAAATACCTTCATCCTAAATTAATTAATAATAAAGGATTTTTTTTCTATAAATTCTTGTTTATTTGTCAAGGCAAGGCAGCTGCTCCATGCTCTGAGGAATGAAAAAGGAAATGGTGACAAACAATGGTAAAACTGTCCCTGTGCAAATGGGTTTGGATGACATTTAAGCTGAAAAATAGAAGGTTAACATACTCATCACTAGCAGCCAGCCAACTATTGCCCCACCTGAAGAAGGATATCACAGCTTAACAGAAGGCATTCATACTTCTTCGAGCTCAACTCTCACCATTAATTGTTGAATTTCTGTTCCTGACAACAAAAGCTAAACAGTGTGGGTAAGACTCTTTAATAATTCTCCATTTTAAGATGGAAAGTTTGTAAACAAAGATTCAGTTATTGATAAAAAAAATTGTTTGTAAGAATCCTGTAGAAATGGCATAGTTGCTTAGAAATGCAGGAAAGCAATGGTTTATTTAATCTCATCCGACTGGATTTTACTTAAACTTATATCATTCTGCCTAAACTGTGTCATGGGTGTTAGGCAGGTTATGCCTTTCAAGCGATGACCTATGAACATGAATAATGACTGTGTACACAGTTCAACTATAAGCAAATAATTACCATTGTGCACATAGTTCAAGTCTGAACATGAATTATTACTGTGTACACAGTTCAACTTGAAACAAAGAATTATCATTGTGAACATAGTTCAATGCTGAACTTGAATTTTCACTGTGTACAAGGTTTATATATGAATGAACTAACCTGCTACTTATGGGAGAGCATAAACTTGCACAACACTGCCGTGGGATAAATCACTTAACAATTACTGCCATCAGTCATTCTAAACTGAGATTAATAGCTGTTGTTCTTTTTTTTCCTTGGGAGTTATGAAATAACCTTTATTGGGAAATATTGTTTATCAGTGCAATGTTAAACTTGGAACTTGGAACATAACTATGTATGAGCTAAGTTAACATTAGTTAAATAAACTCTCATTAATAGATAAAAGGCAATTACATCTCTAATTAGTTTACAGCAACTGTTTTAAATATTTTTCTTTTGAGATGTGGTTACGGTAATGTCAGATAATGACAGGGGTGGCTTTTAGATATGAAATTAAAATTATACTCTTGAAGAGAACAGCTATTAGCCATAAGATGATTTTCTAAATTTATTACCTTCAGCTAGGTAGCAAAAAGTATTCAATCACAGATAGTCTACATTCTCAGATTAGTTCTACCCTCAGAGTGAAAACAGTTGGCATGAAGACATCAACCTCTTCCAACCATGCTTCATCAATCTAAGAGAACTCTTAGATTGAGGAAACACAAAGTGCATCCGTAAAATATACACAACAAACTCTGAATTGCTTTTGTTTAGTGGATGTCCCTGTGTTTGAGTAACTATTTTGGTTATTCAGCAATTTAATTGTCATTATCAAGCATCTGGAATGTACATCGCAAGATTTATTTCTAAGTGCAAGGGAGAGATTACTAGTGAGAATCCATCCATCCATCCATCCATCCATCCATCCATCCATCCATCCATCCATCCATCCATCCATCCATCCATCCATCCATCCATCCATCCATCCATCTTCTCCCACTTATTCCTTGTCAGGGTCGCAGTGGAACTGGTGCCTATCTTTGGCAGTCTACGGGCAACAGGCAGGATTATTTGGATGGAGAGTTTAAGGAAAAAATTATGCAAGATTTCCATTTGTTCTTTTGTTTTTACAATTCACAAAAAATCTGAAAAGTTTGTATTGCATTTGTATTTTCTCGTGCATTATTTACCTGTATTTCACTATTAGGGATTTGTGTTGGTTGGTCACATTAACATCTGATCAGATATATTGTACTTGGAGGTTCTTTTATGAAATATGAAATAGTTCAAGGGGTGTGATTACTTCGGGGAAGGGCTGTATATGAACAGACATTGGCTGTTGTACCTTATTAATAAATGTCAGTTTCTCAAAGACAGCCATAAGCAGCATTTTTATCTCATTTAACGCTGAAATGAAACGTGCCACTAACTGAATGTGTTACTTACTTTGGCTTTGGAAATAGGATTATTGTTGGAGGTTATGCAATTGTATTGCTGAAGTACTACTCAGGTAATTATGATCTCAAAACAAATTAGAGCAAAGTTTAACTAGATTATCCTGGCATGACACAGCAAACACACCCACTATCATAGATGTCGGGCCTGCCTAATCTATCAACCATCCCTATATGTTTTTCAAAGACAGCAAACAGCAACATTTTGAGCTCTTTTAAAGCTGAAATGGAAACGTGGCACTGACTTCAAGTCATACTGAATGTCTGTTAAATACTTTGGCAACAGGATTATTGTTGGAGGTAATGCACAACTATTGCTACTATTACTACTCTGGTGATCCATCCATCCATTTTCTAACACGCTTATTCCCAAATAGGGTCACGAGGGGTGCTGGTGCCTATCTCCAGCTGTCAATGGGCGAGAGGCGGGCTACACTCTGGACAGGTCGCCAGTCCATTGCAGGGCAACACAGAGACAAACCATTCACACACACACCCACACCTAAGGAGAAATTAGAGAAGTCAATTAACCTAACAGTCCTGTTTTTGGATTGTGGGAGGAAGTACCTGGATAGAACCCACACATGCTCAGGGAGAACATGCAAACTCCATGCACAAAGAATCCGGGCCAGGAATCAAACCCAGAACCTTCTTCCTGCAAGGCAGCAGTGCTACTCACTGCACCACTGACCAACCCACTCTGGTGATCATATTCTCAAAACAAAATAGAGTAAAGTTTAACTAAATTATCCTGGCATGACAAAGTAAAGAAACCCAATATCATAGATTTCTGCCCTGCTGAATCTATCAACCTTGCCTACATGGACGGTTCTGGCCCTTTAAAAAATGTCAGTGTTTTTTTGGACTCCTGTAATCTGATAACATTTAAAACATAGTCCAGCCCATACAGGAAGAGGGTGTGGTTTTTAGCATAAGAGTTGGTGAAACCTGAGAGTGCCCCAACTACTGCATGAGTGAATCTCAAAGGCAGGAACAATGTTTTTTATTCTCCTGGTGCTGGGGCTTATATTCCTTGCTTACATTTTCCGTCAAGTTCTAGTTATAGGAAAGAGTTGTAAGAGCAATGCAAAGCTGCATGGGAAAACTGTGATTGTAACTGGTAAGTACAGCCTCTGCTTTCTGACAATTATGTGCTTGCTTTTAGTTACTAACTGCTTTCAACATGCAGGCAGCAATACTGGCATAGGGAAGGCCACAGCGATAGAAATCGCTAAAAGAGGAGCCAGGGTGATTCTGGCCTGTCGCAGCAAGCAGAGAGGAGAAGCTGCTCTCCAGGATGTAAAGAGGGTCTGTATCTGAAAGCTATCCCCTTCTCTCTCACCAAACTAGTGAGAATAAAAGATTGGAGCTGCACAATACAACTATGTTAGGCTGAAATGAGTTTTCTGGGTTTACAGTGGGCGCTGGTTGGAAATGGACACTCACACTCCCCGTGTTTCACGAATTGCGTGAAAAGCATGTGACTACTATAGCCACTAGGTGGCAGTGAAATTACCTCTGTAGGATCAACACTTCAAAATTTGTTGTGTGATGTTTCTCCAAACATGAGAGAAAGCTTGTTACTTACTTCACTAGGTCAGTCATGGGTTTTAAAACAACACTTACTGCAACGCAGGAAGGTGCCAAGACAGCTAAATTACAAAAGAGCTTTCAGCCCTGCTCACATGGGTCTTATAACATCTTAGTTGAAATGTCAATACTGCAATGCATACTGGGAGCTGTAGTTACTGTCAGTTAGTCTTCAGTAAAGTCCAACAAGTAGGTTGCACATTACATAGGAGATTGTAAGCTTTATACAGATACTCCCCTTTGAGATACAAAACCTGGTTTTGAAGGGAGTCCCGTGTCATAATAGCTAGTGTGGAATATTTTAAGTCTTTATATCTTCTAATCATAATGGGTTGGCTTATAGATCTTGAAAACCCAAATTCAGTGTATCAAAAAAAAAACAAAGTATTACATAGTATCGATAGAAAAAGGATATTTTTAAGAGCAATGACAGGCTTCTTAAAAGTGGGTTAATTTCTATACACATATTCTGCGCTCTGTGTAATTTACTGCATCAATGCGGCATGGCATGGAGGCAATCAGCATGTGGTTCTGCTGAAGTCCAACAGAAGCCAAGTTTGCATGGATGGCTTTCTTAGGGTAATTTGCTTTGTTGGTTTTGGTGTCTCTCTTCTTTCAGTCTACAATACTCCATAGATTCTCTATGGGGTTAAAGTCAAATAAGACTGTTGGCCTGTCAAGAAAAGTAACACAAAGGTCATTGAACTAGATTTAGGTACCTTTGCCAGTGTTGTCAGGTCCAAAGTCCTGTTGGAAAACGAAAGCATTGCATCCATAAAGTTTGTCAGAAGGAAACATAAGATGCCCTAAAATTTTGTCGTCAATGACTATGTTGACTATGTAGATTTAATAAATCATCATGAATCAACACCAACAGAAGACATGAAAGTCCAGTTGTGAGAGGTAAAGGTTGCTGTTGACTTCTCAGAATTGATTGTCTATTGCAGGAAAGTGGCAGTAATCAGATAGTGTTCATGCAGCTGGATTTGGGAAGTCTTAAGTCCATCAGGAGCTTTGCAGAAAACTTTCTAAAGTCTGAACCTAGATTGGACATCCTCATCAACAATGCAGGTAGGAGTTTTCACCAATGTATTTTGTTTTGTTTGTTTGCTTTTTAATTAACAACAGTTTTTTTTTACACTCGTCAGAAAAATCCATATAATCTTCCTACAGTACACTTTTATATTCTATATATAAAAGCCGTTCACAATAACAAATTTTTTTGGGTGCTCTTGGAGTCAAACAAGAGAAAAATTAGTCCAGTAATCACTAAATGACCAACGAGATAAATGCATGATTTTGATGCTGAAGCCAATGGTAAGCCTAAAGGATCTATAGTTTAAAGCTTATTCATGCCTTAGTTAAGCATATAACTAAACAATGTTCAGAATATTTGACAGGACAAAGATGCACCTAACCAAATCTAAATTGGCAAACAGTTTATTCTCTGCAGTATAAAGCTGGTGGAGCTATATGGAGGCAGATTGGTGCCATAAAGTTTGTTCAAAAATATAAATAAAATCCTAAATAACTTTATATACCTGAACAATGGCGTAACTATCGGTAAGCAGAGACTGCAGTTGCTTAGGGGCCCCCAACCTTTTAGGGGCCCCATAACTGACACCTGGTTGGCCCCCTATGCAATTGTAGACTAGGACGTCTCTTTGCAAATGTAATGGTGTGAAAAATTCCTCTTGAACCCACATGATACTAGGATGTCTGACCATACCTTATTTATACCCCAACACATGGCAGATTTCAACATGATGGTGAGTCGTTTAAAAACGACACCAATAGCAAAGCAGACGGTGGTGCTTTTAATTAATATGTTAACAACTGTGTTTAGTTCATTAGACGGTTGGTAAAAAAAATACAATCATATAATATGTTTCAAACCACATTAAGATCTTTTAAAGAACAAAGTATTTGAGTATTTTATTTTTTAAAATAGGACTTGGAATTGTGGGTTGTACTTTATATGGGGCCCACCCATATAATGTTGTTTACGGGCCTATTGTTGTGTCGTTATGTCATTGTAGCTAAACAAAACAAAAGATAAAAGTTTCTCAACTTATGTGGGAACTGAGAAGATGGGGGTGTGGAATCAAGACTATTATCATAGCAGTTGCATACACTTCGGGCGGAGACTTATGAAATGGCAGACCAATACCATAATTGGAAATGACACTTTATTTATCCTTCTTTTATTTAAAAACATTCACTGGTTATTTGATGTTTTTTTTTATATCAGTCATAACAAAGTTTTTTTTCAGTCAAAGCCTTTTTAGTCGCTTTATAAAAATAATTTTGATTTTGAAGCATTGTTTCCCATCCTTTTTAACTTGTGTTCCATGTTTCCACCAGCTTTATGCTACCCTTTGGGCATTTTGTCCTACCATGAGTACCCCTCTCATTTAAAAGTAATGAGGAGCTACAATAACTGATTACAAAATAAAAGCTATTCTACTTAGTCTAAGTTAATTTAAGCTTTAGGCTTTCTTTCGCAAATAAAAAACAGCATTAATATGTTGCCTGGAATAAGGAATAAAATCAAAAAGCTGTATTTATAAAACTAAAAAAATATAAAACTAGAAATTCCTTATAATTATATTTAAACTTGATGAATTGGGAACAAAATTCAAAACAAAAATTATAGTCAGACTGACTAAATTAGTTTAACTTGTTTTCATCAAGACACCTGAGCATGCTTTGATGAGCTGTGATAGCTCAGTATGAATCCTCCCCCTCCCCTTTTCACATGTTTGTCTCTAGAAGTCAAGGGAAGAGGCAACTGATGACACTGAATCATAATAAGTCACCAGGTCCCGATGATGTCAGCTCCAGATTCCTGAAGGCCTGTGCAGACCTTAGCCTGACCCAGGAGATATTTTGTGGAAGACCCTTCCCTTGCTCCAGTAGCAGGCGCGTCGGCTACCGTTCATTCATCCTGTCCCTTGAACTGCTGCTAGTTTTACTCACATGCCTGGAAGATGTCTAGTGCTACAGTGGGTCCTGATTGGAAATGGACACTTCACTCACGCTCTCCGTGTTTCACGAATTGCGTGGAAAAACATGTGACTAATATAGCCACTAGGTGGCAGTCTAAGTCCATTTCGGCGTCCCTTTTAAGATGTAAATGCCCCATTAGCGCTGTGGCTGGAGAACAAATCCACCCCCTTCAGTTTTGGTTTCAGCTAAAGTATCTCTCTTTGAGTGTTTTACCTGAGAGCAGGGGGGAAAAATCATATTTGTAATTAAATATAACTAGGTCTACGTCATCAGTGTCGCCAACACTGCAATGATTGCAGCACAGCCAGCCGCGCAGCGATCAGACAATAACTGATCTGTACAATGAAAATAGCTGCATGAGCTGGAAAGCTGTAGAAAGCAACAATATTTATACAATAATGACCATTTATACGATAATGACCGTTATTTATTTGGGGGGAAATATGACTCAGGCGATCTCTCTTCCGCTGCAGACACGTAGCCAGCATCGCGAGACTGCAGTAAAGTTGGCGAAAATATTCACAGATTCGGCTTTTCCGGATTAATAACTCGGCAAATTATTTATTCTACAAAACAGACACCAGAGCAAGGCAGACAGTGAGCTACAACCATAGTTTCCTAAAAACGAGTCTTCTATCGCGCTGGGAGAATTACATTTGATCCTATGGAGAGCACACTGCTCCAAAAATACTCCGTCTGCAGTTCGCAAAATAATCAGAGAGAAATATTCAAAAGCGTCACCAAGGAGAGGTGGATTATTATCACATTCATTGGATTCGAAAATTATACTTTTCTGAGGAATTTCCAAAAGCCTAAATGACAAATGGCACCTCTATTCTATTATTAGAATAAGTATAAAATGAGCAATGACTACACTATAGATCACTGTACTGCCTTCAAACTTGTAGGATACATAGATAACCTCACCTGGATCATACTACAACTCTTACTTTGGGAAGATAGGCCAAACTTTATTTTTGGAGATTTATTCATTGTTATTTTAAGCATATAATAGCCAAAAATTACTTGTGACTTTGACAGATTTATTTTGTTGTTTTGTATACACGTGTAAAAACAAATAGAAATTTTGTTTAGAACAGCTCTAGACAATTTCATATTTTAAAGTTCAGCCTTGAAAACAGTAATAAATACATTCAAAGAAATAGTTATATAAACATATGACTGTATATAACATTCTTTTTTTTCTTACTTTGGGAAGATAGGCCAAACTGTGTTTTTGGAGATTTTTTCTTTGTTATTATAAGCATATGATAGCCAATAATTACACTATAAATCATTGTACTGCCTTCAAACTTGAAGGATAAGCAGATAACTTCATCTGGATCATACTACAACTCTTACTTTGGGAAGATAGGCCAAGCTGATTGTGGGAGATTTATTCATTGTTATTATAAGCATATAATAGACAATAATTACACTATAGATCATTGTAGTGCCTCCAAACATAGATAACCTCATCTAGTTCACACTACAACTGTTACTTTGGGAAAATGTGCTAAACTCTATTTCTTTTTTCATTGTTATAAGCATATAAAAAGCCAAGAATTACTTATGACTTAGAGACTTAGATTTATTTTGTCATTTTGTATACACAAGTGTAAACAAAAATAAATTTCATTTAGAACAGCTCTAGACAATTTCATATTTTAAAGTGCAGCCTTGAAAACAGTAATGAATACATAAAAAATGGTTATATAAACATATGACTGTATATTTACAGTTCTAACATTCGTTTTTTCTTACTTTGGCAAGATAGGCCAAACTGTATTTTTGGAGATTTATTCATTGTTATTATAAGCATATAATAGCCAATAATTACACTGTAGATCATTGTAGTGACACAAAACGTATAGCTCACATAGATAACCTCATCTAGTTCATACTACAACTCTTAGTTTGGGAATATGTGCTAAACTCTATTTTTTTAGATTTTTTTATTGTTATTATAAGCAGGCCAGGTGTGCAATCTCTGCAACAGGAACCACAGCACTGAGCGTTGTGTGCACTGCACAAACTATACCTGTCGCAAATGCATCCTTGGGTTTGTGAAAACTGCTAAATGGGACAATTGTAGCTTCATATGTAGTGCTTTTCCTTGGGTGAAATAATTGTTACTCCAGTACTGAAATCATACTGTTTCTCATTTTCTAAGCTGAAATGTTGAATGACGTGAAAAGGCGAGACAAGACAAGATACAATTATTCTCTAAGTTGTTCTTTCTTTCACATAGTGAGCTTTGCAACAACACAAATGAGTCTGTTGGTGAATGGACAATATAAATAGGCTCCGCCTTGCCCTGTTGGAAAAGCATGGTTATGACCTGTTCTCAGCTCAGGAACTAGGACCCGTATGATATCTGGTTGTTCAATAGGTTTGCCTTAATAAAAGATTTGGATATGACTTATCAAGATATTCCTGCAAAAAGGTCTGATGTTGCAGGGGCAGGTAATGAAAAGTGCTAGGAGCATGCTCTTGTTCTGATGTCAGTTTGTTTCAGCCTAATCCAGTCTCCTGTAGAAGGGCTGGTCATATCACAAGTTATTTGCATTACAACAAGGACACAAACTTGAAGAGGGGAGGGGGGGCTTGCAGAAAACCTGAAATTCTCCGGGACATCTAGTGTTAATCACTTGATGGCCTATGATATCAAAAATTGTACAATAACTTATTTAACTTATTTATATATTTTACAGATACTAGCCTATTATGCTGTTTGACATTTATTTTATGGCGTCTTTCTTTTATGTAGATCAGCTGATGTGCGCTCCACCTTTCCAAGGAATTACATTAGACCATAGGGGCACATTATGCAAGAATGCTGCTTTCTGCCCCGATGAATAGTGGCGTTTCTAAGTTGTTGTCAGAGATGGCTGTGATCGACCCAAAAGTCAGTGAGCTAATCCAGAGTATTCCCATTTTAAATACAGTGAACCCTCGTTTATCGCGGGGGTTACGTTCCAAAAAGAACCCGCGATAGGTGAAATCCGTGAAGTAGAAACCTTTATTTCTTTACAGTTATCATACAATGAAATACTCCATAC